TTACCACTAGCGCCTTTGAGCTTCGAAGTGAGGCCTGACACGAATCTCTCTATCTTGGTTACCTCGGTGGGGACTAGCTCTGGCGCGAAGCGTGCCAGCTCGAGGAATCGTTTATGGTATTCTATGACGGTGGCCGTTCCTTGTTTTAGATGAAGGAACTCCTCGTACATGGATGCTTTTACATGGGTTAGATAGAATCTCTCTCGTAGTCGTGTCTTGAGGTTCTCCCAATTGAATCCTGGTTCTTGTTGATAAGTGGGTCCCTCGTGGATCCACCAGAGATCGGCCTCGTGTCCGAAGTAGAACGAGGCTATCTCTACGCGGCGTTCCTCCGGGCATTCTACTACCCCAAAAATCTTATCAAGGGTTCGGATCCATTCTTCCAGGACTGCGGGATCCTCTTCTCCTGAAAACATGGGTGGTCGGTGATTTGAAACTTGTCGGGCAACGTCAGAGTTTGCGTTTGATGGGGGTGGCGGGGGCCTGGTGTTGCGAAGGGCTGCGTCACTTAACGCCTGCGCGACTTGTGTTAGTTGCTGTAGGGTTTGGGTCAAGGGGTCGCTGGTGGCGGGTTCCGGAGTCCTTGATTGCCTTCTGTTTGGTGCCATGCTATCGTCTTTCTGGTCAGTGTTTATAAGAATGTTAAGTTAGAGTTCGCTGCACTTCTGGTGAAGTGATAAGTGGGGAGGGGTTTTAGAATGGGGAAGGGCAACGTGTAGGGGAGTTATGTGTGGCCCCCACCCACCGGCTACCCGCTGGAAATTCATCCCACCCGGGATCCCGGCTTCCCCGTTTGATGTTCCCCCGTTCCCCGTGGTGTCCCAACGGACTCCGTTTATCGTGCCTATGTCTAGTTTGATGTTTCGGGTACCGTTCGTAGGTTTATGAGTCTATTGTATTGCATGCTAGTTGAATTGGTATCCCGTTGACCTAGGTGGAAGGAGTATGAATGTAACACCCCTGATTTTCAAGACATTTAAAACTTAATAATAAAGGTAATATCTCATTAAATCCCAGAGTGTAACATCAGTGTGCGGGGTGCTATGCCACACCTGAGCTAGAGAACCCAGGTGCACAGGCTATCTAACTACTATCCTCTGAAATATAAATGCATAACATGGCACGCAGGCCGAAAGGGAAACTATACTACTTCTACGCTCCAGTTCTAGCGCGCTCCAGTGCTCTAATCCTCTGTGCCTGAAAGCCAAATATATCTGTTCAGCGAGAGATGCTGGTAACCCACTCCAACGCGTTGAAATACAATACATATAGAGATATATATAGATATACGAAAGCCATTGTGAGCATGAAGATATATCCTACGGACTCTAGCTTTTAAAACCGGGAATGACTCGACAGATAAGGTCAGACGCAAGCAATAGTTATAACAGTCATATGCAGTTCATAATAGACAAGGCAGATAAGACAAGGCATAAACAATGATCACCACTCATCATACACAATCCCCAACATAAATCCCATAGTCACATTTCCCCAAGGCACACATAATCACAGCTCACCCGTATCACAACACATAGCACACTTTGTTGGCGCCACAGGACCAATCGCATGCCCATACATGAGGGTCAGCGCATATAGCTCTGACACGGCCCCGCAGCACCCTGCCCCATATCGCAACACGGAGGGGTCGATCGCAACCGACCGATGAACCGCAGCTCACCATAATGTTTGATCGCAACCAAACAGTGGACCGCAGCCCAAGAGAGTGTATTGTCTGACTGTAGCCAGGAATTCCCATCTGACTACAGCCAGCCTCTGAACCGCAGCTCAGGAAAGATGTCATCTGATTGCAGCCAGGAATTCCCATCTGACTACAACCAGCTTCTGGACCGCAGCCCAGGATACCGTCATCCGACTGCAGCCAGGAATTCCCATCTGACTGTAGCCGGCTTCTGAACCGCAGCTCAGGATAACCAATCCGATCGCAACTGAATTGGGGCAACACGCACACGTAACACATAGCAAGCACATGCAACCCACATTACACATTGGGAAGGGGGATAAAGCGTATAACAAACCTATGCGTGATCCATCACATACTAAGGATAGTCCTAAGGGGTTCATGCTTCTTTCACCTAGGTCAACGGGATACCAATTCAACTAGCATACAATATAATAGACTCATAAACCTACGAACGGTACCCGAAACATCAAACTAGACATAGGCACGACAAACGGGGTCCGTTGGGACACCACGGGGATCGGGGAAACATCAAACGGGGAAGCCGGGGTCCCGAGGGGGGAAAAATTCCAGCGGGTAGCCGGTGGGTGGGGGGTCCACCCGCCGGCTGCCACTGTTCTGGGCAGCGGGTGCCCGGCGGGCAGCTGCCCGCCCGCCGGCTGCCCGCTGCCGGGCTGCCCGCTGCCGGGCTGCCCGAGAACGCCACGGGTAGGTGGCGGGTCCCCTACCCCCACCTTCCCCCCACTGACTCTTTTCACCACTTTTCGTCCCGGGAACCGCTGTGGAACCCGAAACCATGCTTAGACACTTTACAACGCAATTAATGACAACACGTGGACAATTAACGGATCAAATACGAGAACCGTACGGCACATAATCTATCATGCTTTTCTAAACATAATCAACACCCAACATGCGAATTCCCACCCGACAATCCAAGAATAAGGTCATACGATACAACCTAGGGTTCTAATCACTTTTATATCAACAAGTATACGGTTCGTCTTCTAATTCCAAGATTCGGTAAGAATAACATATAAACATCAAGAGCATCACACAATTATCAAGAACAACACATAATCATCAAGAACTCTATATAATCATCAAGAATTCCATAATCATCAAGAATCTCCCAATATCAAGATTATCAAGATCCCTCATGGGATCATCAGATCAAACATTAATAATAATCAACACATCTTGCCCATACACAATAATATGGGGGAAACCCTAAGGGGAAATCATAGCTATGAAAATAGGTTTTGTTGAGACATGGGTTACCTCTTAGCCTTAATTAATTCCTTGGCTATGAAGGATCTTTCTTTAAGCTTCCTTGCTTTCTTGATTTCTCCTAAGGGAATTCTTGGAGCTCTTTTTGGGGTGGTGGGCGTTAATCATGTGGGGGTTCCGGGTGTCTCCTAAGTTCTTTATATATATATTTAAGACTCCTAATTAGGGCCTGAATGGTATGGGTTTACTAATCCTATTCCTTATAGGATTCAGGGACTCGCTTTAGGGATAAGGGTCCATATTAATTAGGGCGGATCCTAATCACAATCTGAATGGTAAAAGGTTTACTATCTTTATTCCTAATAGACTTAAGCCTCTAATTTAGGCAAGGGTCTACGGTTCATGGTGGACCCCATTAATTAATTAAAGGGGAACTTAACTTAATTAATCATATTTAATTATTATTAGCGGGATTAATTAAATAATTAATCCAAGATTAAAGGTCGTAACACGGGGTGTTACAATGAACCCCTTAGGACTATTCTTAGTATGTGATGGATCACACATAGGTTTTGTTATACGTTTTCTCCCCCTTCCTAATGTGTAATGTGGGTTGCATGTGCTTGCTATGTGTTATGTGTGTGTTACCCCAATTCGGTTGCGATCGGATTGGTTATCCTGAGCTGCGGTTCAGAAGCTGGCTGCGGTCAGATTGATACTCTTGGGCTGCGGTCCACCGTTTGGTTGCGATCAAACGTTTCTATACGAGCTGCGGTTCGTCCTTTTTCCTGGCTGCGGTCAGATGACATTCTCTTGGGCTGCGGTCCACTGTTTGGTTGCGATCAAACACTATGATGAGCTGCGGTTCATCGGTCGGTTGCTATCGTGTTGCGATACGGGGCAGGGTGCTGCGGGGCTGTGTCAGAGCTATATGCGCTGACCCTCATGTATGGGCATGCGATTGGTCCTGTGGCGCCAACAAAGTGTGTTATGTGTTGTGACATGGACGAGTTGTGATTACGAGTGTCTTGGGGGATGTGACTATGGGATTTATATTGGGGATTGTTCATGTTGGGTTATGATCATTGTTTATGCTTTACCTTATCTGCCTTATCTGTTGTGAACTGCATATGCTCGTTATAACTGTGCTTGTGTCTGGCCTTATCTGTCGAGTCATTCCCGGTTTTAAAGCTAGAGTTCGTAGGATATATCTTCATGCTCAAAATGGTTTTCGTATATCTATATATACCTCTATATGTATTGTATTTCAACGCGTTGGAGTGGGTTACCAGCATCTCTCGCTGAACAGATATATTTGGCTTTCAGGCACAGAAGATTAAGTCACTGGAGCGCGCTAGAACTTGGAGTATAGAAGTAGATAGTTTTCCCTTTTGGCCTGCGTGCCACGTTGACATAATTACGCTTTGAGGATATTAGTTAGTTAGCCTGTGCACTTGGGTTCTCTAGCCCAGGTGTGGCATAGCACCCCGTACGCTTGTATTTATTTCTTGGGATTTAATGAGATTCTACCTTTATTATAAGTTTTAAAAAGTCTTGAAAATCTGGGGTGTTACAATAGACTTCAGCCAGTATTTTTTCATCTTCACTTGAGGATTCTGAAGGGTGAATCACTCTGTAGGGTTTTGGAATAGAGGCAGCAGGAAGACCAGCAAAATGCTTAACATGATCAAGACTCTCCGCCAAAGAGGAGGAGGTGTAGACTGGAATGCCAACCATTTTCTTGGGTTCACGGGGGCTTGAGGATTGCACATTCTCAATAGCAGCAGGCATATCAGAGGGATTAACAGAGGAGTCGACTTCTTGTGGGACATTAGCAACAACAGCAGGAGACAGAGAAACATTATCAAACTCAAACACAACCAAACTTAGATTGTTGGGCTCATCAATCGGTTTGTCTTCCTCTACAGATGCTTTAAGCGACTCACAATTCATGGGATCAGACTTCACAACAGGTAAGCAAGGCGGATCAACAGATACAGATGATTTCTCAGAGAGTAAAGCATGCACATTCTCAGAATCAACATGAACAATAGATGGGGTAGCATTAGACACTAGATTCTCAGGTTTATCAGGTGAAATTTCTATAGGAGAGTCAGAGGAATTTGACCTGTTTCGCAGAATCTCAATACGATGCCTGGCTTCATTCTGAGCAGCCTGAAGATACAGGGGTTGAGCAATTTCTCGACGACGGGAGATTTCTTCAGACTCAAGGGCTCTTTGAGCAAAGTAATGGAGGAACGCCCCAGCGCGATTTCCATCCGAAGGTTCTGGAATAGACGCCGGATTAATATCATCACCTGCTTCGGAGGCCAACAACAATAATTCACTGGTGTCATCGTCTGACCCGTCGGCATAAAACTCTGGATAATCGGATAGTACAGTGACAATGATTTCATCTCGGAGAATGGGATCAAGCTTCAATTTTTTCTTCATAGCCAACATAAGCAAGGTTTTGACATGTTTGGTGGCTGTTTCTTGTGAATGCACCTTTCTTCCAAGCTTGATGATCATATTACAAACTGCATCCGCCATTGATGAGAGATTTGAGAAGATGAAGAAGTAAACCCTAGATAGGAGATTAAGGAGAATACAGACTGTGTGCAGAGAGAGTCTCTTGTTTGTTCTCTCAAGTCTTTCTCGATACTCGATTATAAGCCCAAGGGAGAAGAACCCCAATAAATGCAGCTAGTCAGAATACATGCAGAGCTGATGTGATTGACGCAACGATATACCTCCTTTTTAGGCAAGAAACGGATGCTAGGCATATTTCAAATTTGAAAAAGCCTAATTACTTTTATGGTAATATAGGTTAAGATATTCTCTTAACAAAAAGAAGGGAGTTTTTAAAAGGAAGTCAAAACTGAAATTTGACCAGAATACGTAAACCCCGCACTCTCCTTCTGATTGTCGATCTGCCCTATTAGTCAATTCTGCAGATTCCCAGAGCAGATATGAGAATCTCAAACCGGTTTGCGTCTAGAGGCTTAGTCAGGATATCAGCCAACTGTTTCTCTGTTTGAATATATTCCAATTCAATCTCCTTTGATTCTACCAGATCTCTGATGTAGTGATGTCTTATATCAATATGCTTCGTTCTGGAGTGTTGAACTGGATTCGTTGAGATATTAATAGCACTGACATTGTCACAATAGAGTGTCATAATTCCCTGAGTAAGACGATAGTCTAATAGCATCTGTTTCATCCATACTAACTGAGTACAGCATCCACCAGCAGCTTAAGGAAATTGAGTTCTGTTTCTTACTCAGCCATGACACCAAGTTCTTACCAACAAAGAAGCAACCACCAGATGTACTCTTACGGTCATCAATGTTCCCTGCCCAGTCAGCGTCACATTATGCAATCAGACTCAGTTCACTGTCCTTGGAGTACCATAGACCATACTGAATCGTTCCTTTTATATATTTCAGAATTCGTTTAGCAGCTATGAGGTGCGATTCCTTTGGATCAGATTGATACCTTGCACATATTCCAACACTAAACATTATGTCTGGTCGACTGACCGTCAAGTACAACAGACTTCCTATCAGGATTCGGTAGACTGTGTTATCCACTGATTCACCTGTGTCGTCTTTGGATACTTTTGTGGAGGTGGAGATCGGTGTCCTGGATGGTTTACATGATTCCAGATCAAACTTCTTGACTAAATTCTTAGCATACTTTTCTTGTGAGATAAAGTACCCTTCAGAACTTTGCTTAACTTGCAGTCCTAGGAAGTATGTCAGTTGACCAACCATTGACATCTCAAATTCTTCCTTCATAACTTTTACTAACTCATCTGTGTATTTCTGTAGAGTTGATCTAAACACAATGTCATCCACGTAGATCTAAGGAATGGTGACATGACTTCCAGTAGTTTTTACGAATAAAGTTTTGTCAACACTCCCTCGTTTATAACCATGCTGTAGCAGATACTGGGTCAGTCGTTCATACCATACCCGTGGGGCTTGTTTAAGACCATAGAGAGCCTTTCTAAGCTTGTAGACATGCGATGGATGTTCTGGATCTTCAAATCCCTTAGGTTGCGCCACATAGATATCTTCATGCAGGTACCCATTCAAAAACGTTGTCTTGACATCCATCTGAAACAATGTAAATCCCAGAATGCATGTAACATCTAGCAGAATTCTGATTGACTCCAGTCTAGCCACAGGAGCAAATGTCTCATCATAGTCAACTCCTTCTATCTGAGTGTACCCTTGTGCCACTAACCGAGCTTTGTTTCTTGCAATATTCCTAGCTTCATCAGTTTTGTTTTTGAAGATCCACTTTGTTCCAATTATGTTGACACCACCAGGCCTTGAAACTAGATCCCAAACATGATTTCGATCAAACTGATGTAGCTCCTCCTACATTGCCTTGATCCACAGATCATCCTGTAAAGCTTCTTTTACATTCCTGGGTTCTATCTTTGAGGTATAACAAGCAGACCCAGATATTTCTATCAGATTATTTCTTATTCTGCTCCTGGTCTTCATCCCATCTGTTGGATCACCAATGATGTTATCTGATGGGTGATTTTTCTGAGTTCTGGTGGGTTTATCTTTACCTGTATCATTTATGAGAGTTGTCTCCTGTTCCGAACTTTCTTGATCTTCATATGAGGATTCTTGTGATTTGGGCTGACTGTTTCTGTCTGCAGTATTTAATTTACTGAGGGGAAGCTTTGTCACTGGATCTGTCAATGTTGTGTCTACTGATTTTTCTGGACAGTTATCTATATCCACATTTACTGATTCCATCACAGATTGAGTTCTCTTGTTGTAGACTCTGTAGGCACGACTGTTTGGAGAGTATCCAAGGAAGATGCTCTCATCACTCTTAGGTTTAAACTTCCCTCTTTGTTCTCTATCAGCCAGCACATAACACTTTGTCCCGAACACATGAAAATACTTCTGGTTTGGCTTCTTCCCCTTCCAGATCTCATATGGTGTTTTGGTCGTTCCTGGTATAAGATAGACCCTATTTACTATATGACAGGTTGTGTGAACTGCTTCAGCCCAGAAGCGCTGTGACAGATGAGAGGCATGTAGCATAACTCTAGCCATTTCTTGTAAGGTTCGATTCTTTCTTTCCACCACACCATTCTGTTGAGCAGTTCTAGGAGGTGAGAACTCATGTGATATACCGTGCTTGGAGCAGAAATCTGAGTATAGTGAATTCTCAAATTCTTTTCCATGATCACTTCTCAGTCTCTAAACTTTTATTATAGACTCATTCTTTTCCTTCTGAACCCTTTTGCACAGAGTTTTAAAGGCCTTGAATGCTTCTGATTTTTCTCTTAGAAAGTATACCCAGCTGTATCGAGAGAAATCATCTACACACACAAATATGTACTTCTTTCCCCCAATGCTTTCAGTCTGTGTTGGCCCCATGTGGTCTATGTGCACAAGATCTAGACACTTCTCAGTGGTGATACCTCTTACTGCTTTGTGTGGAGTTCTGATTTGTTTCCCAATGGCACATGCACCACAAACCTTTTCCAGATCTATTCTGATCTTAGGTACACCTCTCACAGCTTCTAGTTTGATCAGCTTATCCATATCTCTGAAGTTTACGTGACCCAGTCGTCTATGCCAGAGTTTTGATTCATCAGATTTAGATAGGTGACATACAATATCATTAGCCAAAACATAACAATTGTCTGAGGATCGGGTTCCTTCCATGACAAGTTGATTTGCTTTGTTACTAACTCTGCAGTAGTTACGATCAAAGCACACATTCCAATTTTGATCACACAACTGACTGATGCTAATCAGATTAGCTTTAAACCCACTGACTTACAGAACTTCTTCTAATTGAGGAAAACCTGGTTACATTCAGGGTACCTTTCCCAACTATTTTCCCTTTTTTTCCATCGCCATATGTTACAGATCCATTGCTTGGTTGAACAGCCATGAGACACTTTACATTTCCAGTCATATGTCTGGAACAGCCACTGTCGAAATACCATCTAGCTTTCGTTGTAGACGTAGTCAGAACTATAGTGGGGTAGCATATAACTTCTGACTTTCTGACCCAAACCTGTCTAGTAAATGGTGTAATAGTCTTGTTCTGATATTTTTCCTTCCTTTGATCTCTGTAAAAAAAATAACACTCAGGCCGAGTATGACCTTTTGTTTGACAATAGTGGCAAATGGGAGTGTATTGTCTAACTCTGACAAACTTATTTTTGAACCTTGAATAATGAGATTGATGGGTTACTTTGGCAAGGTCAGTATCTGCAGTCTGGTCATATCTCCTTCTCTTGCCAATTTTCTGCACTGACCGAGATGACTGTCCTTGTTCAAAGCTGTGAACTGCTGTTGTCTTAAACATACCCTCTTTGACAAACATAGGTGCATTGTTCGAAGATTCACCTCGTTCAAAACCTAGACCCTTTTTGTCATTAGGATTTCTGCCAGAGTCTAGAATCTTGTCTAAGGTTGATGTGGTGTCCATCATCTGGATATTTTTCTTCAGACCCTCCAGTTCCTTTATCAGTTTTCCTTCTCTGGATCTTATCTGAGTGATGAGATCTTCTTTTATGACAAGGTCTATATTCAGTTTTTTTAGAAGATCATCCCTTTGCTTCAGTTCGTCATTCAGATTTTTATTGACTTTCACTAGTTGTTCCCAGCTTGCAACAAGTTTAGCAAATTCTATTTCAAGTTGAGTATGTCTCTCTTCAAAATCATCAGTTGATATGTAAGATTCTTCATCTGATTGGTTTCCGTCTGACTGAATGTCTGTAGCTGTAAAGAAGGCTAAAAAGTTTCCCACATTATCATCTGACTGATCATTGGATGTTTCCTCCTCATCATCGCTTAATGTAGCTACTGACACAACCTTTTTCCTCTTGAGATACGTTGCACATTCAGCCTGTATGTGTCCATACCCTTCACATTCTCTACACTGCACTGAACGGTTGAGGTACTTCCCTGTATCTGTTGAACTGTTTATGTTCTGTCTCGTTCGACCAGTCTGAGATTGATTGTTCTGTGAAAAGGGAGTTGTTTCGGCTTTCTGATATGAGGAGTTATTGCCTTTGTATTGGGTCCTGGTTGGCTGAACTTGACTCTTTCTGTTGAAACCTTTTAATATTTTCTTGAAATTCTTGGTTAGAAGTGCCAAGGTTTCATCATCTATATCGTCAGTGTCAGATTCTCGATCAGCCTCAGCCACAAAAGCCACTGACTTTCCTTTTCTGTTGCTTGCAAGATCATCATCAGCAAGCACTTCTAGTTCATGTGTGTAAGCTTCCCATAAGTTCTCCGACAGTCTTCTTTTCCCAACCCGTGTGTTCCTGAATAGCAGTTACTTTCATCCGGAAGCGTTTAGGAAAAGATCGAAGGATCTTTTTGACTACTCTCTCAACAGTGAATGGTTCACCAAGAATTGAGGCCCTGTTCATCAGATTCTGAACCCAACTGTGAAAGGTCGAAATGGTTTCCTCTTCATTCATTCTAAGGGCTTTGAATTCTGACAGTACCATTTGTAGCTTTGACTGCTTGACATCACTAGTTCACTCAAAT